TACATCCCAGAACCGTCTTATTTATAATTATTTAAGATTCTAAAATGGACCTATTTAGACTTCTGTAAGTGTGCATGCAAGTCTATATATAGCGAAAGAGTTAGAGATGTGTGTCTCCTGCAGTGCCCTTTCCCCTGCTAGACATGTGGCTGGGGCAACTCTGCTGAGCGTGAAACCAGGAGAACGAGTAGCCACTTTGAATGCTTTATTTCTAGCATTTACTCCGCTTCGGATAGGTATTTTAAATGTGCGTCTGCTTTTAAAGATGTGCCTGGGGGGGAAAAGGAGGAGCAGAACAAACTGTAAAAATGCAAAGTAAATGTTGGCACTGGAAAACTTCGAACTTGTGCTGGCAAAGTTTGACCCGCTCCACCTGAAACGAAGATGGTTTGCCAATTTCCACTATTTTCAGGTCGAAACTGACTTTATCCACAGATTTGTTGTGTTGGGAAAAAAAAGTCGTATAAAGAAACCAAACCGTGCAGTTTCTTTTCGGGGAGTTGATTTTTATTCTAAAACCACGGGCCGGTTATTACGTCGAAAAATTACTGATGATGAATTATGATGATGAGGAGGATGACGACTATGACGACGATGATGAGAATAACCTTGTAAATTCCATCCAAATGGTTTCTATACGTATTTCAGCCGGGGCAGCGAGAACCACACTCATTTTGTTCATTGAAGACGAACACATTTTCTTCAATAAAATGTCACACTGGAAGAAAGATATTGTCGGTGACGTCTAATATGCGCACTTCAGCATCTGTCTCTCCTTTTTCCACAAACAGCTGTATTTTGGACAAAATGACGCAGAAATGCACTGAAATAGTTGCCGACACTATAGTCGGGCAGGCACTAATGAACTATTTGGGGTTTTGTTGTTGTTGTCAAGGGGGGGGGGGGGGGGTTTTTTTCCCTATTATCTATCTATTCCCAGCCGCGGTTCCTCTTTCACCCCAAGCTTGGGGAGAGTCCGCACGTCGGGCAGAAGGGCAAGTTGGAAGCCGGGAAGGCGCATTAGGCGGGCAACACACCGGCTCCTTTCCGGGCGGAACCGTGCATTTCTTGTATCTCACCGAGCTGCAAGTCAGGTGCCGGGGGACAGAAGGCAAGAATGAGTCTCAGAATGAGCGGTGTCTGGCCGATGGGAGAGCAGGGAAGGCGGTGGCGGCAGCACAAAGGCAGGTACCCGTGGAGGGACCGGGGAGCGTATGGTCCCGCCGGCAGGACGGCGCCAGGCAGCCCCGGGCCGCGGCCGCACCTCCCGGCGCTCCGGGCGGGAATCGCGCGGGTCTCCTCTCGGGGCCTCGCCGCGGCTCCTGGCGCTCCACGTGCTGCCCGCCGTCGAGGCTGAGCTCCGGCCGCTGCCTGCCGACAGCCGTAGGGACAGGGCCGACCCGGGCGGACTCTCCGCGGCCGGACAGCCCAGGGGACTGCGAGGGGGGCAGGATTTCGTTGGCCTTTGCTGCAAACGCCGCAAAGCCAAGGCGAAATTTTCCGCAGGGGAGGCGAGTGAGACCGGCTCTCACGTTTCCCCGCCGCAGCATCCCTGGGAGTCCCGAGAGGGCGCGGAGTGCTCCAGCTTTCTCAGAATGGGCCGGAGTCCCCGACGTCCGTAGCCCTTTGCGCCCTCAGCTTGAATGGGCACGAAAGAAGCGTCCCTGCCCCGCCTCCCAAAGGGGTGCTGACACCTTTCGTTGCTCCCTTGGGCAGCGCCAGCTCCCGCCGCTCCCATCCCTCTAACATCATAGTGACCTTCTCCCCGCGGGAAAAGGAGATCTTCTCCGCTCCCTTTGGAGCTGCCCGGCTGTCACCTTTCCTTTCCTCCAGAATAAAGAGGAAAAGGGTAGGGTCTGCCCCCATATCTCGGATCCGGATATTGTCCGCCACTTCATCTTTCCGAAAGACACATCACTCAAGCCCAGAGCTTTCGCTGTGATTTGCGTCTGTGGTACTGCTGTGAACTTTAATTTCTGACGTATTTATTAATTAAACGGTGTCCGAATGCTCTGTGATCTTGGCAGGAAATATTTCTGTTTCAGTCCTGCCTGAGGTCAATATTTGATGTAACCTGTTATCGCGGGGGGCTACATGAACTCAGCAGGGCTGCAGGTGCTTCATGATTCGGTGCCTGGAAATGTCATCGACAGAAATATTAAGGGATGCTTCACCTCACCTCTGTTTCTCCAGCAAACTAGGGGACCGGAAATAGAAACGGGAACAACGGAAGATTCCCGAGAGCAAGGACTACCTGAGCGGGACCCTGCTCTCTTCTCCTAACTGGAGGAGATAGTGGCTTCTTTATGGGACCCTGCCATGTCACCCCATGCAAAACCCCGGGCCGTCCAACAGCTTAAGTATTGCGTTATTTTCTCTCCCCTCGGTGTCATGTTTGCCACCGAAAGTGGAGCTTTTAGCACGTTGTATTAAGACACGAAGTCGTGCTCAGCAGCAAGGAAAAAAAAAACAAACAAAAAAAACAACCTGCCAAGCCTCCTCTCCTTGCCGGGGCTGACACGACGGCTCTCTCCTTCCCGCTGAAAATCAACCGAATGCCCTGGAAGACATTTTATCCACCTTCACCTCCCCCTTTTCAAAGCAAAGAGCTCACCAGAAAAGGCATCATTACACCCAAAGGATATGGTTTCAACAAAATGGTAGTTCCAGTGGCTGATGAAAGAGGAAATAATTGCATCCCACATGCCTAGCCTAGAAGTAGCCCTGGATCCCAGAGCACATTTCTCTCCTATTGTTCAGAGAAAGTGAAGTATCCTCATCGCCTTACAGCATGGTGATGGATCTGATAGGGTTTCCGCAAAGGCTTTTACTGTTCCTGATGTCTGCTCAGTTTCACTTCCAGACTCAGTCCAACAGCATTCTTGTGATTTTTGCTCTGAATTCCCTTCTAAAACAGCCAAAGAGAGATCTGCCTTCCAGACTGCAACATGTGCCCAAATCTTCTGTCCCCTTCTGCCGCAGCGAAAGCAATAGCTGTACCATTGCTCTTATTTTGCAAAGCGTTTTCTTTGAGCTGCCTACCTCTCTGTGAGGGGTGTGCTGTACAAAGTCCTCACAATATTGAAGTAGATTGGGTACCCTGTCATCGCTTCATTCATGGATACACAGCCTCAACAAATTCACTACACATCTAAACTCCCGGCAATTCGAGCCTAGAGGGGGACAGAGCCCATCGGTGCCGACCCTGGCAACGACAAAGGGCGGTGCAGGTACTCGGCCCCGCAAAGGTTAGAGCACTGAAAGGACCTGTCTCCAGCAGGCAGGATTTGGAGCTACCCCAGGGCATGTGTCTCAGCCGGGGCAGGGGCGGACGCGGGCTCCCCACCGGGACTGGTCAGGGGGCAGCGCGGAGGGCGTCTGCCGTGCCCCTTCCTCATCCGCGCATCCCCCGCGGGTCGCCCATGGGGCAGCGCCGAGCTCCGCCGGCCACCGCGGCAGCACCTGCGGCTGCAGGGGCGGGCCCAGAGCCGTGCCAGAAATACCTAAATAAGCAAACACAAAGGGATGCAATCCGGCTGGTGCCCGCCGAGCAACCCGCTGGGAACCCTCCGGGAAGCAGCCCGCGGGTCTCGCCGGCACCCTGCGAATGGTCCGCTCTGCCTTTGCCGCCCGCAGCTGCGGGATCTCCCGATGGGGCATACAGAGCCGGCCGCTCCCTCTCTCATCCCCGAGGAGCCCAGTTTAATTCCTTCCCCTCGCTGTTTACCCTTAATCCTCGGCTCTGGCGCGCTCCCACTTGCAGATCCCCACCCTCGCCCCCTCCTCCCGCCGCTGCCCGCGCTGCTGACAGCGGGGAAGGGGCTGTTCGGGGCATCGTGCGCGGAGCAGCGCCCGCGGCGGCGGGTCCTGGCGGCAGGGCCGAGCCGGGCCGGGCCGGGCCGGGCCGCTCCTCGCTCCTCTTCGCCCTCCCGCTCCACTGCCCCGGCCGGGCTCCAGCCTGCCCGTCGCTTTGGAGAACTGTGCCCGTTCTCCTGCCTTTGAGAGCTGCCCTTTGACTTCCCCGTCCTCTTCCACGTATTGATTTCAAGGTGGGAAGCTAGCATTTTTGGATTGCAACTCACCTTATGTATTCTTGATCATTAAAAAAAAAAAAAAAAAAAATCCCGCAGCTATGCAAAGACAGGATCTTTAAAGAGTTTGTAGTTCGACAGGTAAGGACTCGGCTGGGGCTCAGGAATGTGGAAATTCAACTCAAGTCAGCCTACTGCGACGAGCAATATTAATAAGGGCATACAGGCACTGGGGGGAGAGGCAGAGGGAAAGAGGGCGAAACTTGGCAACCAAAATAACCGCGTGCTCTCGATTGCGGTGATCAAACACCGAGGAGCAAACAGCGGGCTCCCCGGGAGCCCCCGCCGCACCCTCCCGGGCCCCGGGCCGGTCCCCGGGCCGGTCCCTTCGCCGGAGCCCGCTTGGCTTCCCGGGAGCACCAGAGCAGAGGTAGCCGGACCAGTTGTCAAGTTAATTTCAACACGTCCGTGTGATGGATAGAAACGCAAATTGTGTCTAGGCCTGCATAAACCAAATCCCTGAGCGCAGGTTCAGAGCAGGGATTCCCCTCCTCCCGCCCCTTTCGCCTAATACCTCAGCTCTGCTCTATTGTCCCAGCAGCAGCGCCTGAGTTAACTCTGTCAGGCTGCCTTTTCTATTTTTTTTCCTCTGAGGGTACTGTAAGCCAGAGATAATATTTAAGTTCGCTTAAGCAGTACAAAATAAAAGGATCCGTCATCACTCACGACCGGCTCCCTGCAGGCTCGGGGCGGGCTGACCGCTCCGCCGCCGGGCATGGCCCGGGACTGGGGGAGACCCACGGCTGTGCTTCGGGGGGCTGCCGGCGCTTGGACACCCGGGGACGGAGACAGAAATAATTACATCTTTTATTTTCCTCTTTTTTTTTTTCCTCTCTGCAGTATTTTGTTCCCAACTCCGCACTAACGTGACCCAAAAGCCAAGGAGATTTGTCGTGCAGAAGGACTTACCCTAATTTGACATAGATGACTCCAAAGCATAGAAACACGTAGAAAATCCACTTCCGAAAGTTTCTGTGCATGATCTAGAAAATGGACTGAGCCATAAAAATTGCACAAAAAGCCGAAGTGATCGTGTCGATTAAATCCCAGTCAAGAGCACTGCTGAAGCTACCCAGGAGCAAAGCCGGCCGAGCTGTAAAAAGTCAACTCCGAGCAGATAGGCAGCTCTTCCCAGAGCCATGGTGACCGAAACCGGCTCCGATATTAAAGCTAAAGAGGAAGGAAAAACGGAAAGGGCTGCTCAAAACAGTAAAACAAAACCCCAAGACAGACAGTCTGAGGGAGAGAATGAGCAAGCACTGATCTTGATCAACTGCCTCATAGAGCCCTGAAGTTCAATCTGTTTTTACTTGTTCTGACTTCCCCAGGTAACACTACGTATCTTGCAATCTATGGCTCCAGGTAGGAGGATCTCTCTTTCTCTTTCTCTCTCTCTCTCTCTCTCTCTCTCTCGCTCTCTCTCTCCCTCTCCCCGTTTATATATTTTAGACACACAGGCACCAAGGCACCAGAGAGAGAATGTCTCAACTACATATCTTATCTGTGTGTGCGTGTGCGAGCTGTGCGTGTGTTTGTGTTTCAAAAGGCATGTCCTTAAGCCGGAGTGTTGGGGAAAACACATGAAACGTATCCAATAAGGGAAATAAAGGACTCGTCCTCTCAAACCGAAGCATTTTTTCATTTCCTCTATATGGTAACGCGGCTGGATTTGCAATGTACGGACTTCACAAAAGAAACTGTTACACTTTTCCATTTTTTTCCTTTTCTTTTTTCTTTTTCTTTTCCTTTTTTTTTCTTTTTTCTTTTTTTTTTTTTTTTCCCCTTTCATTTCTTTCTTTCTTTCTAAACAAACAGAGGAAGGCGTTAATCCCCACTTGCTGGCAGCTCCGTATCCTAAAAGGCAACGTGAGTCCAGACTACTTCTTCGGCCGTTTGACCGTGCTGGACACAAATGTCTGACACCAAATTTGGTATAATTTTCCGCAGTAAGAAAATACGCTTCCTTCTTTGAGAAACAGATACACTTGGCTTTTAACACTAGCTTAGGATATTCAGTTTGATGGTCCTAGAGAGATTAATCAGTGGGACAAAACCTCACTTTGTGTTCAGACACTAACAGTGAAGTAAGGCATCCTTTTCTTTCTGGTTTTTTTTTTCCTTTCCTTTCTTTCTCTCTGTTTTTTTCTGTTTTTCTTCCTCACTGATTTCTGAGCTGCTCCGTTTATTCCTGCATTCTGTGGAATTATCTATTCCAGCCTACTACACAATGTGTGCCTGTCCGGAGGCACAGACCTGCATGCATATGCACGCTTAAATAGCACTCCGATACAAGTCTGTGGGCTGTAGGGAGTTACACAGATACGGAAAAACTCGTGCACCTCTGCCCTCTCCTACACATACATTCATATACGTGTAGCAACAGTCAGCACAGATGGCTCTAGGCATCTCTCAGAGAGAATCGGCTAAACACACACCAGGAAAGGCTGAAAGGAAAGCAGGCAGTGACAAGCAAGCAAAAGAGGCTGAACACAGAACTTAATCGTAAAGTATCTATCCTGACGGAGAAAACAAAGGATTTTTTAAAGGCCAGCCAGGCTGCCGTGGTTGAAGAGGTGCAGTGTGAAATCGCAGGTCATGTTTAGACTCTCACAGTGAAGGCTGCCTGCACCTTGTCATCACCCAGCCAGCCCACAGAACAGGGTCCTCTCCAGGCATCATGCAGACACCCCAAGCCAGTGAGGGGAAGGGGACCATGTGAGGGGAAGGGGAAAGGTCTCAGAGCGCGTCCCCCAGTAGCGATGAAGGCGGCCGACACTTCCCACTCCACCGCCAGCTCCGATTCCTCTGCTGAGGATCGGTTGGCTCTTTTCCCCCCCGCATTCCTTAGTTTTATTCTTTAATAATCATCACTCGGGCTCTCGGAGGCAGCCAACTCTCCTCCAGCCCACTCAGCTACGCTGTCATCAGTATTCCACTACAGACAATTTGTCCTTAAAAAATGCCGAGTCTTCCCTTCACACTCATTTCCTTGTATTTAAATGTCATTCATTCTTTTTTTTTCCCCTGACCCAACATAAGCGTTTTTTGTTTCTTCATCCCCACTATTTTTAGGCAATTTTTTGTAAGATTAGGCCGTGTTTCACAAAATCACAGGAATCCCAGGCATATGGTGCAATTCTTGGGGCTGTCCTGTGCAAGTCCGTGAGTTAGACTTTGAGGATCCTTGTGGGGCCCTTCCAGCTCAGAATATTCTGTGACTCCTTGATTCTGTTCCCCTTTTGCAGAACCATGTCTCCAACAGCCTCCTAACTTACTACTGCCTCCCAAACTCTTCAACCAACACCAAAAGGTCATTCACAATATGCAGACCCACCACCACCTGCCACTTGTGAATCTCTTTTCAGGTTTTTTAAACTTTTTGGAAACGAAGTGTCATGTGTCCGTCACGAGAGTAGCGGGGATGCGGTAGAGGGAGGAGCGGAGTACGCAAAGATTTTTCCCTGCGGCCGAGGCGGGCGGCAGGGCCAGGCAATGCCTAGGGTGGGTGCCGCGGGGATGTGCCCTGGGGATGTACCCCGGGGTTGTGTCCCGGCAATCTGTCCGGAGCGCAGCCCCGAGGATGTGCCCCGGAGATGTGACCTGGGGATGAGCCCCGGAGATGTGTCCGGAGCGCAGCCCCGGGGATGAGCCCCGGAGATGTGTCCGGAGCGCAGCCCCGGCCCCGCGGAGGCGGTGCAGTCCCGGCCGGTCCCGCGGGGTCACAGCGCCACCCCGCGGCGATGTGTCGGGGCCAGCCGGGAGGTTGCGGGGCTCCAGGAGCGGAGAGCGCGGGGCGGCCCCGTCCTGTCGGGCTGGATGCGCTCAGGAGCACCGGCGCTGCCGGGACGCGCAGGCCGACAGCCCCTCGGCCGCTGGCTATAGGAGGCTACCTATAGGGCTACCTCCCTTTGCCTCCGCACCCGCGCACAAACCCGGGCGCGGGTCCGGAAGAGGCGTGGAGGGGCAGGCTGCCTCCCCCGCGTGTGAGGCCGTGTGCAGGAGCTGGGCATCCACTGCCCAGGGAGATTAGGAGGAACGAGGAGCTCCGCATCACAACTATTTGTTGTTACAGGTCTCCTCTCCAGACCCCTCGAGCCTGTTTTATCACAAACGCCATGGAAGTAGGAATACAACTCACATTGTCTCCGTCTCCTCAGTGACTGCCAGGCTAGCACATCCCATTTGCTTCTGAGAACTAGTGAGGATTTTTCGTTGCAAACCCAAGAAGTTCCAACAACATAAACTAGACTAGATTGTAGCATATTTAGAAGGCAAAAATTTCTATATTTTTGACCCTTACTCCCCTGTTATCTTCAGCTAATTGATTTGAAGATCCTGGACTGGGGGAAAATTATACACCTTCTTACCTTCAAATATCAATTTGACTGTCCTGAAAACTTAGGCTGAGGACAAGAAGATTTAATGAGGTTTAATAATTTTATGATTTAAGAAAAAGCTCTGTAGAATATTTAAATGCTTAATTCTCACATTAGTGTTCAGAGATTCACCTGATTACTTTATGTGCCAAATATATAAGGCCCATTGAAATACTTTAAACAAATACCACCTTAATAAAACTAAAATACTTTCTGAACACAAGGTAATATACCTAAATACAAAAGCATTGATAGATGTGGGTTGAAACCATTTGCTGAATGCTCTTCTAGTATACAATTCTTATTTATTACTTGTCCAAAACAATTGTCATAGTAGGGGATATAGTCAATTAAAAATTCAGTAATTCACTTTCTCACCCACTGAGCTTCTGCTGACAAAGCTCAACATTCATGCTTCCAAAACCTGCCAAAGGAAAGGTCACCTATACCCACTGCTTCTGGTCCCCACAACCCTCCCACACATCCTCATAGCCTTTTGATGAAGTGGCTCCTGTGGTAAAATATTTAAAGTCCTCATTGAGCTTCAGTTTCCCCATCCATCACAAATGCATTTACCCCTACTCCAACCGGAGAGCCTATTCCTTCACCTAGGGAAAAGAGTCCAAGCGACTTTCAGAAGTCACTGGTGAGGCTGTGAATCTGAAAGCTTAGTCAACAGGAGGCAACTATCAGGTGCAGGTACTCAAGGGCAGCTTAGGTGTGCATCTCTTTAAAAAAATGAAGATGATGGGAATGCGAGTCACTGGCCCAGGCATGGGTCCCATTTATTCCAGGATGTATCACAAGGGACACAGTGCTGTTTGTCTGACCTGGGGCTTATAGGGTTTCATGAACAGGGAACTCTGCCCAAGCAGGAGGAGCAATCTCCACAGTATGGGAACAGCTTGCAGCCTGTACAGCTCTGTAAATGGAAGTATGAGCAAGCAGGACCAAAGGGGAAAGGAACTGTTGGTCATAGCTCACATCATCTTCCCTAGCATTTTTCCAAGAATAGTGTTCAAAATCAGAGTAAATCCAGTGAAATTTCTAGGGAATGCAGACAACAGAGATAATTTCTCTGTTATGGGCCAATCTATGTGCTTTTCTTTTCTTTCTGTACTGCTCAGATCAACCACTGGACCAGGAGTTGGACTTCGATGATCCTTGTGGTTCCCTTGCAGCTCAGCATATTCTATGATTCTGTGTGTGCTCGTTTTAAGTCCAAAAGGCTTAACTACAAGGCAAATCCAGCTGCATTTTTCCCAGCCAGCCACTCTCTGGCACTGTTGCTCCACGCAGTTGTAGATGAAGGTCCCATATATCACTACAAAAAACAATTGCACAGAAACGTTCCATAGGGGAAACACCCAGAGCATATGGGGCTAAAAAAGAAAGAGAGGAAAAGAACTAAAAGAAGAAAATTATTTAAAAATAAGCACACAAATATAGGTGTCTTGCATCTGATCAGGATCTTACATGCAACTTACACACATTCTTAACAAATGTACACATTAAGTATATGCACATACTACTAGTATTTAATATTTTGTACATGTGTTACCATGCCTTTACACATGAAGTCTTTCTTTAAATCACACTATTTCATTTACCCACCTGCTTCCTAGGTCTAAGATGTCCCTTCTTTCTGAGAGACTACCAAACCCACTCTCTGATGCCAGAGTTTTTTTCAGACTTGGGATGTCCTTCACTAAGCTTCTGATGCTGAGATATGTTGTCAATCATCTGGTCTTTGAGCTTTGATTCAGCAGAAGAGTACCAAACTCATCTGGTAAGAGATTATGCTTTTGGCATGGGCATCTGGCACGGTGTCCTGCACAGCACAACTTAATGGCAATAAAACCTGCCTCATAGTCAAGGTTTGAGTCTGGCCTTACATAGTAACTGACCTGCCCACTGCTCTCTTAGTTCTTCTCTCACTTGGTATAATGCAAAACA